AGCAGTAACGGATAGAGCAGCCTCTCCTCCCCCATACCCACCGCTTTCACTCTGAGAAAGGGTCTTGCTAATTGCCAAGGCTGGGCTGGAATGACTTGTCCTCCCATCTCAACCTCCTAGAGTGCTGGGATTACAGGTGTGTGCCAGAGTTAAGGGCAGCCTCTTACTCCATATCTTCCTGCCTTAAAAGAAATTGTCATCTGAGACATCTAAGCCATCTAAGGTCTATTTGAGTCCAAGACCAACTGTGTCATGCAGGTGTCCTCAGAGCTTTTTGTAAATGCCATTTTTAATGGAATTTCACTACCAGCAGCAGATGTTTATTGTCTCTATAATCTTGGTAAGACTTAAATGAAGTAAAAATGTGTCAGAAAAGACATCTTTACAAAGTTACCTTTGATTCCAGAACTTCAGGGAGGCCACCCAGTTTGGTCCAAGGCATCGTTTCAAAGTTCTTAAGATTCGGGCTTCTTGTATTTAGATCTGCCAAATAAGGTGTAACAAGGCAGACTTCAAGCTACTGCTCTGCTGGAAAATGCAGCTCCCAGTGATTGTAAACCTAGGATCAGTAGAGAATCAAAGAAACCATCTACAGGTTCATTTGTTCCCAGGTTTGGTTAAGTTCTGATATTTCTTTGTTGATTTTTTTGTTCAGTTGATCTGTCTATTTGTCATGGTGGGGTATTGAGGGCCCTCTGGCAATTGTGTTAGTGCTTATTTGATTTTTCATGTGTGTTAACATTTGTTTTATATAGTTGGGTACCCCACTATTTGGTACATATATATTTATGATTGTTATCTATTCCTCTTGGAGTTTTCCCTTAACAAGAACGTAGTGACCTTCTTTGACTCTTTTGCTCAGTCTTGGCTTGAAGTTCACTATGCAAATAGAATAGCTAATCCTTGTTTTTTTCCATTTTCCTGTCACATGAAGTATTGTTTTCCATCTTGTGACTTTCAGTCTGTGATTTTCTTTTTAAGTTAAATATGTTTCTTATATGTAGCATATTTTTGGATCTTGTTTCTTGAGCTGTTCTACTAGCCTGTTTCTTTTGACTGGTGAATTGAGACCATTTACATTGATGGTTATAACTGACATATATTGGCTCATCCTTGTCAAATTATTTTCCTGTTGTTGGTTCCCTGTCTTTCCCCTCTGTTCAATTGCTTGCCTTGCCTAGTGGATTCTTTCTATTGGCATTCTTGGAATTGTAGAGTTTGTTATCTCTTTCTAGAACATCCTTCAGAACATTTTGGAGAGCTGGTTTGGTAGCCATGAGTTTCATCAGTTATTCTTTATTATGGAAGTATCTTTTTATCTCATTGAGTTTATTGGTACTTCTTAGGTATACAGTACAGTTACATTCATCATTGGGATCTTGTTCCTTTACATGACAGATCTTGGTTTTCATTTTTTCCCCATACCCCTACCCTCCCTTCACCCCCTCTATCCTCCCCTATTTACAAAGACCTTGTTTCCATTTTTCCTTCCTCATATTTTTTCTTTTCCCTTATTTCCTTCCCCCTACCCTTCCCACTTCCCCTACACCTTTAGCCCTTTTCTTTCTACTTCACACTATCAGTTATATAATTTAGATCTTATTTACACTTTTAGTTTTTCACACCAGAGAAACTATTCGATATTTACATGTCTATCCTATTTATTTCACTTAAGAGTATGCCATGGAAGTGTCTTATTTCTGTGTTGAATTTGAAAAATAGTTTTGCAGGGTATATCATTCTGGTTTTGAGGTTGTTTTCTGTCAAGACTTGAAATACTTTACTCCAAGCTCCCCTTTAATTAAAAGTTTGTGTTCAGAAGTCAGCTGTGATTATGATGGGCTTTCCTTTACAGATGATTTGTTTCTTTTCTCTAACAGAGTTCAGTATTCTGTTCTTGTGCTGAATTTTTGGAATCTTGGTTATTGTATGACTTGATGTAGATATATTTGAGTCATGGCTAATTGGAGTTCTATATGCCTCACTTTTTGTATGTTAAACTTTTCTTCATGCTTGGGAAGTTTTCTGCCATCTCATCTGTGTGGAAGTGTAGACAGGTGCAACCACTGTGGAAATCAGTGTGGAGATATCTCAAAAAACTAAAACTAGAGGTTCCATTCAACCTAACTATTCTCCTTCATGATATCTTCCTAAAAGAAATTAAAAAAATCATACCACAGCAATATAGGCACACCCAATGTTAGGGAACTGATCATGTTAAAGTATGCTGTGACGCCGCCTCAGGCTGCATTCTCCTGGTACATCTTGGCTCCTAAAATGACCTCATGCCCTTATCTCTGGTTTCCCTCCCCCCCAAGGCCACAGTGGTCCAGGAAAGTTAAAACCTGTGTCTGCAGGACTGGGCCCATAAAAGCAATCTGGCCTGTGATAGGTTAAAAGTAGCTCACTCCTCATAAATAAGCAATAGCCCACCCCAAAACTGATAAAAGGACCTTCCTTTCTTCTCTCTCTCCTTCTGCTTCTTCTTCCTCCTCCTCTCTCTCTCTCTCTGCCTTCCTGCCTCCTGCTCGCCTCCCTACAATAAAGATCTCCTGCTGGACCTCTCGGTGCGTGAGTGGCCTAATTGGGAAGGGGCACCTGAAGGGGCACACGACCCCCCTTTCACCCATATTTATAGCAGCATAGTTTGCAATAGCTAAATCTTGGATATAGCCCACATGCCCATCAACCAATGAATGCATTACAAATATATTTTTAATACAATGGAGTATTACTCAGCCAAAAAAAGGGATAAACTTGAGACATTTCTACATAAATGAATGTGTCTTGAGACCATACTTTTAAGTGAAATAAAGAAGACATACATGTATAACTATCTCATTGTTTCTGTGGTGTGAGAAACCAAAAGTGTAAATGAAGACCAAAATGTATAATAGATATTATGAAATAGGAAGAAATGTTCAGGGAAGGGGAGCTAGGGAGTGGGGAGGGGCAAAGAAAGGAAGGGAAGAGAAAAAAATGAGAGAAGGAGAAAGGAAATGAAAACAAAGCTTTTGTAAATAATGAGAGGAAAAAGGGTTGAAGGGAGGATAGGGGATTGGGAAAAAAAGTATCAAGATATATCTTGTATAGCATAAATTCCCTATGATGATTGTGATCATTATGTATATCTAAAATGTACCGATCAACTTAATTCAAAAAAGAAAGAAGCTGAGTTTAAGAGAAGATAATTTATTTGAAGGTAGAGGAAAAGGGGGAAGAGAGATAACAGCTACTTGACAAGTAGGGAGCATTTAAAAAGGAAATATTCTTGAGCTCTTCTCTGCAGCTCTTCTTATTGAGTTTCTTCTCCCTGTGTAGGCTCTTGGAATCTGAATGGCTCCATGGCTGTTTTTGGATCCTCCTCTTGGATTTTTTCTCATCTCATGGCTTTTCCTGCTGTCTGGTGGAGGCTTTAGGACAGGTAGTTCAGGTTTAAGGATTACCCAAGGCAGTTTATGTTAACCAAGCTACTTGGGACTTTCTCAGTGTTTAGTTTCTTTGCCTTTGTCTTTCCAATTACTCAGAGTCTAGATGCCTTTGTTTTTCTAATTGTTTGAGCCTAATCTGCAGAGGCAGAGGCTACCTCCAGATGGCCTTAGTAAAATCCTCCATTAATTTCTAACAAAGATCAAATAGGCTTCATACTATCTTTTCCTATCTACAGGCCCCTGTCCCTACAGAGGAAAGGGGATGAATTTTATTCTTGGGGTTTGGATTGGGGTGGTGTTTTAAACACATTATCATGAGAGAAGTAACAGTTGTGTTTTGTTTAAAATATCTGCATTAGGTTTAGGAGAAGCTCACAACACCAGCCTTGAGTAGCCACTCACAGGATCTGCCTGCCCTTCCTTGCCCCTTAAAACTGGCTGTGGAGACCTCTTTGGTGGCCACATTCTAGCTCCCTCTTCTGCATCTACCTTCTTACCTGCCGAGGTTCAGGTTGACTGGGAGTCAGTTGGATTTGTTTCCAAATCTTTGTTTATCCCTTGATGTCAACATAAAATAACAACCCTGAAATAAGAAAATGGTTATTTGAGCCCAAATATAATTGGCTATGCCTTGGGGACACACAATCAAGTTAACTGGAATGACAGTACTACTGTGGGATTACATAAACTTTTACACTTTCCAAACAAAGTAGGTCAAGTCATCACATTCAGTACCTGGGCTACAAAGAGGCAGGGAAATCTCCTCCATAGGGTTCAGATGTTATCTTTAACAAGGCAAGGAAATCTTTTACAAGATTCAGATGTCATCAGATTCTTAGCCTTAAGATTGGTGTAGGCCAGGGCTCTGCAAAGCTTAGTATATATTCTAAAAATTTTATCTGATAGTTACAAAAATGCTAGGTCAAAGACAGAGGTTAATAGTAAACACTTGGGATAACTTTGGCTTTTTGATCTGCAATGTTCCATCTCTCTACAAAATCCTCCAGTTATTGAAGATCAAACAGTTTGAAAGCTCTGTAATATAAATGTAGATCTGACCTCTTTTTCTCTATAGGCCACCAGTTAGGTAAGCATTATTATTCTAAAACTCATTATAGAAGGTTTTTATGAAACATCTATAAATATTTCCTCCCTTTTCAACTGATGAGTGGATGGACCATGGTTTATGTAAGCACTCCTCATATTTGTAGACTTTTGTTATTCCTCAGTTTTGCTGTCATCCATAAGTGATGCAACACTTGGATTATTGGAGAGGTGAAGAGAGGTAAATCTCCATCTTTTGTACTAAAAAGTCAATGGGAAATATTAAAAATAAAAAATAAAAAATATCAGTATAAAGGGTTATTTGGGTACTGTACATGAAATAGATTTCAGTTTGAAAATTTCATAGTTGTGAACTTTTTCAGAAGGAGTGGTAGAAGTAGAATAAGTCAAAGAAATTTTGCTTTTTATACAGGTCTTACAGTTTTTAGCTTATAGAGCTACATTTTCTATATTAGTTTGGTAAAATATTAATATATTTTTGAAGTCCAAAAATTTTGAGAACATTACTTTAGTGAAAAAATTGCTGCCTGTGCTTTAATAATGCCAACAATGTTTTTTGTTTAACTTTTCTCAAGATCTTTTATAGAAAGCACACATTTGTAGTTATCCATCCAAATATAGGACTTTATGATTGCTCATGTTGTACTCTAATTCTTTTATTTGACATTCCTTTCAAGTCTAACTCATAATGATCAATGTATATAAAATTTATTCACCTATCACTGAAAGACCTTATTCAGAGGTCTTGATACATATTCTGGACAATATGATATTGCTTTGGGTCTTTATTTTATCAAGAAAATAGACTCTCTTCTCCTAACTTTATTTGTTTATTTATTTTTTCAGATCTTTCTATTTGGTTTCCCTCACCCACAGTTCCACTATGTATTCTGGCTCGTTGTCATTGTTGGAAAGGAACCAAATAAAGAAATACAAATATGGGAAAAAAATTGAAGCAAACCAACAATCTTGGAGTTCTGAGGACGGCATGAACTGGAAGGGCTTGACAGACAGGATCCAGTCAGCAGAGTGATTTTTATAGAGCAGTGCAGCAAACTCCACTGGCTGTTGCTTTAGGCTGAGAGAGCTGAAGGGTAAGTATGGTTAAATTGCATGGGCTTTGTGATGCGTGAAGAAATCTCTGCTTCTTGTCTTGTCAGCATCAAAGCAAGATTATAGCAGAAGTCATGGTCCTTCTTTAGTTTAGTGGAATGTCTGGTTTCTGGACTTGGAGGTAAATCATATTTTCTTTATATTTTCTTGGTCTACCATAAGAAATGAAATTGAAGAGGAGAGAAATTATGAGAAGGTTGAAAATCAAAGTAAAATAGATAGAAATTAGACAAAACATAAATTTTGCCTAGGAGTAGTTTTAAAAAATATGTTCTGAATGGTGATTTTCATAAAGAAAATAGACAGAGCTTGGTATAGTAGAATGAGGTATACCTAAAACCCTTCTCTAGAAGTAGAACTGGCATAACTAAGGTCCCTTCTCAGGGTATTCACTGTCTTGTAGCAGAGAATGTGGGTAAAGATTAAATACAACTTTATATCAGTGATGATGGTTTCTAAAATCCATTGCTATCAGTTCTCAAATAAAATCTGAGAAGTTACTTTTTAACCAGTGTTCATTTACTTTTCAATACTTTGATGAGTGAGAATGCAATTAAGGTTTTTCTCAAATAGTGTTTTTTTCAACCATTTTCTCTCTATACATTTCAGGGTTTGCTAATACTCATTGGAAAAATGCTGTTTTCTTCAGTGCGTTGTTTTCATCTATGTCCTCTGCATATGCTCCTGTTCCTAGTAATACTGAATCAGGTGTGCACCCTCCTAGGCCCCCAGGTCCCCACAGAATCCCCCACCCGGACAGGGTCAGTCCTGTCTCCGTCTGTAGACCAGTCAAATTTAAGATGAAGTTAGCAGAAACCCACCAAATCATCCAGAAACACTGGAGTCCTTTCAGACTCCAGGTGGAGGGCCAATCAAATCTGCCAAGCTTTCAGAGTTTCTATACCCACAATGGTGGCAGCAGCAGCAACAACAAAAACAGCATCACTGATAAAAACAGCGGTACCAGAAGCAACAACAATAGTAGCACCAAAAGCTCCAGTGACATCAGAAACAATAACAGCAGCATAATCAGCAATGATAGTAGCAACAGTACCAACACCACTGACGGCATTAACAATAGCAGTAACATCAAAAGTATCAACATCAATTGCAGCCATAGAAGCAGCAGCACCATCACTGGTAGCAGCACCACAGACAACAACACCATCACCAACAGCTGCAATAATAGCAGAATCAACAACAACAACAGCAGCAATAACAAGTCTACCAACAGCAATAGCACCACTAACAGCAATGGCAACAATAGCAGCAGTGGCAGCAAGAATGACAATAGCACTACCAACAGTATTATCATCAGTATCATTAGTAGCAATAGCAGTAGTAGCAGCAGCTGCTGCAAAAACATAAGCAACAATAGTAGGAGCAGCAGCAATGATAGCAGCAACAACAGCAGTATTCCTAGCAATATAACAAGCAAAATTAATAGCAGGAATGACAACAGTATAGACAATAACAGTAACAACAGCATCATCCACAAAAACAGAATCAACAGCACCAACAGCACCATCAACAGTCACACCCATGGCAGTACCAACAAAGGCAGCAGCAAAAACGATGGTACCAGTACCACCAACATCAATTCCACCAGCAGCAGTAATATTGCAGCAAAAGCAGCAGCAACAATGCTATCATCAACAATAGCAGTAACAACAGTGGCACTAACAACAGCACCACCTCCACCATCAATATCAGCAGCAGCCACAGGAATAGCAGTAGCAGTACCACCAACAGTAACATTATCAGCAGCAGCACCAGCAGTGGCAGCAGCACTACTACCAGCAGCAATAGCAGCAGTGACATGAGCATCATAATCAGCAGAAGTAACAACAGCAGAAACAACAGCAGCATGAATAACAATGGCAGAAACATCATTAAGAGCAAGAAAACCTCCACCCAGAACAACAATGGCACCACTAACAGTGGCTGCAACAATAGCACCATTAGCAGCAGCAGCATCAAGAATAGTAGCAACAAAAGCAACACTGACAATGGCAGCAATGGCAATAATAGCAACACCACTAACAGTAGAAGCAACAGCAGCAGGAGCACCACCACCACCTCCAGTGGCAATAGCAACACCATCAGAGTGTCAACAGCAGCAGCATTGCTACCACTAGTAACAGAAACAATAGTAGTAGCATCAACAATAGCAATACCAACAGCTGTAGCAGCATGACTACCAGCGGCAACAGCAGCAGAAGCACTGCCAATAGGATCAATAACAGCAGCATCAGTGTTACAACCAGCAACATGAGCAGCAGCAAAAACCATAGTACCAACCATAGTGGTAACAACAGCAGCACCACCAACAGCAGAAACAACAGTAGCATTGACAATAACAGTGGCAACAGCAGAAACAACAATAGCATCATCAGCAACAACAGTGCCACCAATGGTTGTGCCAATGACAGCATCAACAGTAGGAGCAGTAACAATGCCACCAGCAGCAGTATCAAAAGCAATAGCAACAACATCAGCATGAACAACAGCAGCAGAAACAACAGCAGCAACCACAACACTGACAAAAGCAAAATCATCAGTAACATTAGCAGCAACAACAACATTACTACCAAAAGCAGCATCAACAATAGCAGCAACAACAGCTGCAGCAGCACTGCTTCCAACAGCAGCAGGAATAAAATCACTAGCAACAATTGCAGTAGCAGCAGCAGTAACAGCAGCAGCAGCAATAGGAGCACCAGCAGGAGTAGCAGCAGCACATGTAGTACCAACAACAGCAGTAATACCAGCAACAATGTTAGCAGCAGCAACAGTAGTAACAGTAATAGTAGCAACAACAGCAGCATTGTCATCACCAACAGCAAGAACAATAATAGCACTGACAATAGCCGTAACAATAGTAGCAGCAACAACAACAGCACTACTAACAGTGACATCAATAATAGCATAAACAGTGGCAGCAACAACAATACCACCAGTAGCACCAAGAATAGCAACAACAGTAGCATCAACAATAGCAGTTACAGCAACAACTGCAACATCACCATTAATAGCAGGGGCAACAATGGTAAAGTCAACAGTAGCAGTAACAACAGTAACATTAGTAATAGCAGCAGCAGCAGCAGCAGCACCACCACCACCACCACCACCACCACCGGCAACAGCAGCAACAATGATATAATCAACAATGGTAACAGTAGCAGCACAACTACTACCACCAGTGACAACCATGGTAACATAAACAATAGTAGTAACTACAGCAGCATCAATAACAGTGGAATCAACAGCAGCAGCAGTAGTACCAATGGCAGTGATAACAATAGCAGCAGCAACAGCCACAGGTGTATCTGCAGCAACAGCAACAATTGCAGCAACTGCATCAATAATAGCAGCAGAGTTAGCAGCATCAGCAATAGTAGTAACAACAGCAGCATCAATAATGGCATCAACAGCAGCAGCAGCTATAGTGTTACCACGAGCCAGAACAGCAGCAGCAACACCAACAACAGCAACATCAGTACCAGCAACAAAAATAATAGGAGCATCACCAAAAGCAGCAGCAGCAACAATAGCAACACCACCAGCAGAATCAACAATGGCACCACCAGCAGCAACAGAAACAGTCTCACCAACAGCAGCACCAATAATAGTGATTATATCAGCAACATCAATAATGGCCATAACATCAGCAGCAATGACAACATCAACAACAGCATCACCAGCAGCCATAGACCCATCAACAGCAGCCAGAACAGCAGCATCAGCATCAATGGCAGCAGCAGCAATAGCAGAAGTAGCAGCAACAGCAGCATCAATGGTGGCCGCAACAGCAACAGCAATGACAACAGCAACAACAATGTCAATAACAGCATCAGCAACAACAGCAGCTATAGACCTACCATTCAGAACAGCAGCATCAACAACAATGGTTGTAACAGCAGCAGCAGAAATAGCAGCGTCAACAATGGCAGCAACAGCAGTAGCAACAGCGGCGGCAGCAGCAATAGCAATTATAACAACATAAATCATGGCCATAAAAGCAGTAGCAACAACATTAACAGCGTCAACAGCGTCAGCAACAGCAGCAGCTATAGAACTATAAACAGCAACCAGCATAGAAGGATTAACAATGACAGCAATAGTAATAGCAGCAGCAGCGGCAGCAGTGGCAGCAGAAATGGCAGCAACAGCAGAAAGAGCACCATCGACAACAGCAGTAACAGAAGCATTGACAACAGCATCAACAATAGCCACAATGATAACAATAGCAGTAAAAGCATAAATAACAGCAGCATCTGTAGTACCATCAACAGCAGCTGGGACAGCAGCAGGTGGAACAGAGGCAACAACAATGGCAATAGCAGCAACAGTAAAAATAACAATAGCAGTAACAACAACAGCATTATCAATGACCAGAACAGCAGAAGGAAAAGCAGCTTTGTCAACAACATCATCATAAACAGCACCAGCAGCTACTGAACCACCACCCCCAGACAGAACAGTACCATCAATAGCAATAACAGTAGCAGCATTAACAACAACTGCAGCCACAGCAGCGACAATAACAGCAACAACAGCAGCAATAGCAGTAGTACCACCACCACCACCACAATTACTACCAGTGGCAACAATGGTAGCAACAACACCAGGAATAGCAGTAACAGTAGCAGCACCGGTGACAATAGCAACAACCACAGCAGTAACGGCACCAACAACGAGAACAGTGGCAGCGATAGCAGCAACTACAGCACTTCCACCAATGATAGCATCGATAATAGCAGTACAGCAGCAGTGTGAACAATGGCAGCAGCAAGTGCACAACCACCAACAGCAACATCAACAAGAGTAGCAGTGACAGTAACAGTAAGAGCAGCATCAACAATTACAGCAACAACATCAGTAACAGCAACAGTAGCAGTAGCAGTAGTGCCAGGAAAATCAGTAGCAATAACAATGGAGGCAACAACAGCATCAACAAAAATAGTACTATCACCAACAGCATAAAAAACAAAAGCGGCAGCAACAATAAGGAACGACATCAGCAGTATCAGCAACAACAACATCCATAATAGTATCAGGAACAGTAGCATCACCCATAGTTGTATTAACAATAGTACACCACCAACACCATCAACCAACTGAAACAGTACCAGCAGCACCAACAATAGTAGCAACAAGAGCATAGCACCAACAGAAGCAGCATCGACAATAGTAGCACTAGCTACAGAGTTAACAATAGCAGCACCAGCAATAACATCAGCAGCAACAACAATGAAACAGCAGCAACAGAAACATCAACCACATAACAACAGCAGCTACAGCCTAGAAGCTTCTTGTTATGGCTGGTGACTAGAGGTCCCCCAAAGCCTCATGCAATTGTAGTGGGGCCTTTTCAGAGGAGGCTGAATCTAGAGAGTGAGATTGATTCATGGTGCAATGCTAGGCTCAAGGGCACTAGGATTAAGGATGTGAGTGCTACCTTCCCTAAGTAGTCTGGATAAGATAAAAGGGGCAGAAAGATGCTGTTAAGTTCCCTTGTTGTTTTGCTATCTCCTGTCAGCTGTGATGAACTGTTGCCCCTCTGTGATGTGCCACTCTACCTTGGAGTCAGCTGATTATGAACTGAAACCTCTACAAACTGGGAGCTAAAAAAAAACCTTCCCTCTTTTAATTTTAGGTGTCAGGTGTTTTATCTTAGCAACTAGAGAAAAGTAAGTAAGATACTCTGCACTGTGTAAGCACTTGGCTACTTGTTCCACGTGAGCCTGGCCCTCATAGTGTGAGAAAGTTGTGGGGGCCTAGGAATCTGGCAGGCAGGATTGGATCATTGGCTTCGTCACTTACTGATGATGTGACTCCAGACAAGTCCCTTAATCTCTCCATGCCTGCATTGGTTGCAGCTGTCAGTGGGGTTACTAATAACACCTGTTTCTTAAGGTAGTGGCAAGGACTAAGCAGGGAAATGAGTGTGAGGGAATAAGGCCTTGGAGCGTAGTAGTTGAGTAGAGCTCAACTATTGTTCTTATTTCATAGAAAAGGGAACAGGCTCAGAGGGGAGACCAGGCACACTGCAAAGCACAGAGAGTATATCTGTAATTAGGGAGGGCTGGTGTCCTTGGAACCACACACCCTGGGTGGGCAGGAGAGGCCCCAGCCTGCCCTATTCTATGTCCCTGGGACATTGAACCTGGCATACGCTCTCAGTGCCAACTGTGGTTTGCCTCCTGCCTGCTCTCTGCTCTCTCACAGCTGTTTTAGCCCATACTTTGCACACTCTTCCTGCAGTCCCCAGGCCTCTCACAGAGCTGTCTCAGTAACCAGCAAACTGGGTCATGTGATACAGAAAAAGTAAAGTGCAAAATTTTATAGGCATATTATTTCTAGCTAACTTAGCTAGAAAACACTCAAAATCACAATAGCTATAATTCTTGGGAATATCTCTTCAGCCTGTTTTAAGCCAGCCTGGTGGGAACTGAGAATCTGACACATGTAGGTGCGTGTGTACATGTCACTGAGCTGCACTGTTTGACTCAAAGCAACTCCCCTAAAATTCAATTTCTAAGGAATAGTCTCAGTATGTGTTTGGTTATTTTGTAGAATAGGTATCAAAGCTTCACTGAAGAGTAGCAGTGGCTCTTGGACATTTATTAAGTACCAGGCACTGTACATACAGTGTCTCATTTAATGGCTATGAAAATCCAAGCAGTGTTGCTATTGCCCACATTTACAGTACACGTGAAGACTCTAGGCAGACCACACAGATGGAGAATGCGACTATGGATGGTTAGACTATGGCCATGCTCCTCCTCGCCACATGGGACTGCTCGCCTGACATCAGAGCTACAGGGGAAAAGTCAGAAGAATTTTAATTCTTCAGTGCCAAGGAAGGCTGCAAGATTCATTCTACAGCTATCTGGGGAACTTCTGTTCTGAGTGTGACATGACATACACAGGACAGCGTCCCTGTCCTCAGAGCGAGGTGCTCATGTGCACAGGAAGGTACACTGAGATAGGGGAGAGGAGAGCTAGTCTAGATTAAGGGCTACAAACTCAGGGGTCCTTATCAGCCATGCAAGTAATATAAGTATTCCCGGCCCAGGACATTAGGGAATGGTGGGGACTATGGTCTACCACAGAGGGTAAGCTCATCAAAGAGCAGAGCCACTGCTTAGCTCCCACAAATTGTCAGCAAGTGGAAATGCCTGCTCAGTGTTCCCAAATCTAATTTCTAACAGATCCTGGAAGTCCCCTTTATGTGGAATTTCCCACTTTAAAAAATATTGTGTTGGCCAAACAAAGCATTTGAGAACTTGGTGTTCTATGGGCTTCCAGTGTGTGACCTCAGGCTGAGTTAGAAGGCCTCTTTTAATTCTAAGATCAGTTCTAGGAAAAGCCTCAGACCACTGGAATTCAGCAACATTTTGTCTACGTACCCAAGTGTTCAATATGAAAGGGTCTGTAGAATGATAAAATTCAGTATAGCTCATGGCACCAATGGATCCAAAGTGGAGATGATAAAATTTTAAAAATCAAAGATTTAAGTAGATTATATAAACAAACTTACGGAGAGAGTGTGATATAGGTTTCTCTTTATCGAGATTTTTTAGTTCACTTTTTAAAAAGGTTTTAAAACTCAGAGTGTACAAAAATATGCCAAGAAAAGTCTTCCTCTCATCTATACCCTATAGTCACCAAATTCCAGACAGCCAATGTTATGGTTCTTGCACATTCTTCAGAGATAGGCGCTTGCATGCATGTGAACACACACACCCACCCACCCCCCACACATACATACACATGCACGCACGTGTATGCAGTAGTTCTATTAAACCTTGGGGAGATACATTCCATGACCGGATGCCTGGTAATATTGCATCCCATAAATGCATGCTATATTCTCACATACACATGCCTATGATCAAGTTTAATTTATAAATTAGGTACTGTGGGAAATGCATTCTTACCAAACCTTTTCACAACTTTCACCGAAAGGAAATACTTTGTATTTTCTCTTTGGCATGTCTCAATAACCAGTGGTACTACTTTTGTACGCTGTGATCATTTTTAAGTAAAATAAAGATTTTTGGATAAGAGTATGATGAGACCTTGACGATCCATCTGATAATTGAATGTACATCTTTTTTTCGGTGCTGGCGATTGAACACAGGGCCTTATGCCTGCTACTCAAGTACTCTACCCCTGAGCTACACCCTCAGCCCTCCATTTGATAAACTGATATGCCTGCTGAGTCACTAATGGGAGCGTAGACTATGCAGCACAGATTCTTTAAGGGGTGATTAACACAATGGTGCAATATTTTATCATGAGAGGTGTGGTACAAGATTTTATTATGCTATCAGAACAGTACAGTGTGAAATTCATGATTTATTTATGCAATTTTCCATTTAATAAATTCACACTGCCATAGACAAACCATGGGTAACTGCAACTGGGTAAAGCAAAGCCATGAATAAGTGAGGATTACTGTATCTATATCATAGTTTTTTATCATTTTATTTTCACTCATTATTTTTATGTTTATGTATTTCTAGTATAGTTACAAATGGTAGAATACATACTTTTTCATGTTTTGCCTTTTTCCCATTAACAATACATCTGGGAGAACTTTCCTTATTGCTGTACATAAAGCTGACTCATTTTTCAAAATGGCCGTGAAGTATTTCCTTGAATGGAGATCATATTTAACTGCTCTCTCAACTGATGGACCCTTGGGTTGTTCCCAATCCTTTGTTATATAATAAGGCTTTAATGATCAATTCTATACACATGTATTTTGCACACGTAAATTCCTAGAAGTGTGGAGTTGCTAGATGAAAGGATATATGCGTTTGTTATGTGACCTTATCATCACCCTGACCATGGTGGCTGCATCAAGTTTGTCTTCCTACTGGCAATGTAGGAGGCTGCTGGCTTCCCACATTCTTTCGCAATATAGTTATATTTCAGGTACTTAGATCTTTGGCAATAAAGTACATAGTAATGCAGTGTTAATTTGCACTTCTCTGATTATGGAGGAGGTTGAGCATATTTTCTTACATTTAAGAGTTGTTTTTATTTCCTTTTCATTGAATTAGTTGCTTAAGTCCTTTGCCTACCTTTTCTTTTTTGTGGATGCTCTTATGGAATTGTTAGGGCTCTTTGTATTTTCAGGAAATTAGCGCTTTATAGAGCGGTAAATACTTTCTGTAAGTTTGTCATTTTACTTTTTTTTTTTTTTGGTTTTTTGAGACAGGGTCTCACTATGTAGCTGAGACGGACCTGGAACTCACTATGTAGCCCAGGCTGGTCTTGAACTCACAGCAATCCTCCTGCCTCAGCTTCCCAATCCCTGGGATTATAGGCCTGCGCCACCACACCCAGCCTTGTCATTTTACTTTTTTTTTTTTGGTTTTTTGAGACAGGGTCTCACTATGTAGCTGAGACGGACCTGGAACTCACTATGTAGCCCAGGCTGGTCTTGAACTCACAGCAATCCTCCTGCCTCAGCTTCCCAATCCCTGGGATTATAGGCCTGCGCCACCACACCCAGCCTTGTCATTTTACTTTTAACTTACTCTAGCTTTTCAATGCAGATTTAAAAAAAAAAAATTAGTGAATACAAACTAATGATCCTTCTTTTATGAGTCTGAATTTTTCTGGACATATATAGAAAGGCCTTCTTCATTATGAAGGTATAAAGTTGTCTTCATTGTTTTATTGTTTCTTTTTAAAAAATTTGTCTTTGATTTAGCTTGAATTTATCTCACTATATGATGCAAGATATGGATTCAACCTAATTTTTCTCTCCAACTGGATATAGAGTTTTCCTAAAACATTTACTAAGTGGCTCATTTAAAAATCTCAACTGCCTACCTCTGCATGGTTTCAGCGTCCTCAATGGTCTCTGGCAGAGCCTTTCCTTTGGTCTCTGGGAGCAACAACACTAGTCCTCCGGCCACCAAGCCAACCACGGCTGCAAAGACAGATGGATGCGAATCACATTTAGAAAGGCAAGCTCTATAATCAGAGCTCCCCCCACCCTTGTATTTTCCTATAGTTATTTTTAGATTCTTTGGCCATCTCTGCCCTATTTTCCATCATAAATATTATGCCAATTCCAAACACCATCGGATTACAATTCCTTTTAGGGAAATGAAATACTTAACATTTTGAGTCAAGGTTATTCCAGATGGAGGGCATTGCCTCAATATTAAGATACTTTGGATTTAGAAAAAGACTGAAGAAAACCTAATTGTATGAAAAGGCAGAATATAACTCTGCCAACATATAACACTTAGTAGTGAAAATATGTAAGAAATCTTGGACTTTTACTAGCAAATTAATGAAAGTGTTATTCCATAATAGCATTAAAAACTATAGTGAGGCCATTTAGTTCAAATATAGGTGCTTGCCAAATACCTGTTGTTTCTTTTTGTCTTCAGTTATAATTTTTAATAAAAACTGTGTTGATATTTTTATTTCTTTACATTCTGATAAATTTTTGGTTTTTAAAAGTTAAATCTTTATATGTTGTTTCCATAATGGAATGCAGGAAGTGGGGCTTGGGATTTCCAAGCACTGCATGCTGGACTCCATCTGTGCCCTCAAGAAATTGTGACAATAAATAGAGACACAAAGCAGGGCCTCTTAGGCACAAGCTCCAGCACTGAGCAACTCGGTATGACTCTGGTTTCTTCACTGGTCTGACAGCCTTGGGAGACTGGGCAGCGGCCTTGTCCTCTGATTTCCTTTTGCCATGAGGGACAATACACTACCTTACAAGCTCATTTGGGGCTGAAATGGGTATTTGTAAAGCACTTAGGTAATGCCTAAGTGGCTCATGATGAGAACTATGGATGTGGTTACTAATCATTTGTTGCTATAAGTCTTTCAAACCTTCCCAGATTTTCTTGGTGATTGCATTGTAATGAAATGATTGTATTGTAATGTAATGAAGCTCTGAAATTAATGAACTTTGATGAATAGGTTCATCAAATTATCTCCTATTTAGCATTTTACATTTGCAAATATAAGCCTATCTATCCAGGAAAACCATTAGCCATTTTTTCCAGTACTCTTTGAAGCAGAATTTTCTGATGTGCTGATTCTTAGGCTTCTTAGATCTCTCCCTCTCTCCCTGTCTATCTTGCTCTCTCTCTCTTTCTCTCTTTTTTTTTCAGCTTTAATTGAGTTTATTGGTACATTTTAGGGATACAGTACAGTTACATTCATTGTTGGGATCTTGTACCTCTACATGACAAGTCTTGATTCTCATTTTTTCCCCTTACCTCTGCCCTCCCTTCACCCCCTCCTCCCCTCCCCATCTACAAACACTTTATTTTCATCTTTTCATTCTCTCACATTTTTTTCTTTTCCCTTTTTACTCTTCTCCTACCCATCCCACCTTCCCTACACCTTTAGCTCCTTTCTTCCCATTTCTAAATGTCAGTAATCTTATTAGAATCTTATGCATTGTTGCAGATTATTCACACCAGGGAAACTATTCGGTATTTACACATGTGTGACTTATTTATTTCACTTAGGAG